TACGTCATCCACGTTTATAGAAATATTGCTCATGTTAAAAATAAATACAACCAATCAGTGAACTAGTCGTATCTGACGCGTCCAATATAAGTTTTTGATGAACCGTTAATTTTTTCAAAACATTCTCTTCCTTTTTCCCCTTATTTTTATATATATATTTTTTAAAAAAGAAACAAACTAGAAAATGACTTCTACACCATTTTCAAACTTACACTCACGTATCACGCTCTCACAAGGTCGATCAAATCAATTTAGATCAGCTCTACCAAAGACTCCAAGGTCCTTGGTTAAAACTACGCAACGTCCTGTACTAAAACCTAAACGACGTTTTGTTATTAATAAAGTTATTTTAAATAATTTCAAATCGTATTTTGGTCAAACGGAAATAGGTCCGTTTCACAAGGTATAAGTCTATATATATTTGTTTTCTTGGAGATTTTCTGCGTCACGAGATTCTCTCTAATCATTAAAATTTGATTTCAAAAGTCATTTTCTGCTATCGTCGGACCAAATGGTTCGGGAAAATCAAATATCATCGATGCGCTTTTATTTGTATTTGGTTTTCGAGCAAATAAAATGAGGCAAGCAAAATTATCAGAACTTATTCATTCATCACGGGGTCATGAAAATCTGGATGCTTGCAGTGTTGATGTATGTTTTGAAGAAATTCTTGACTTGGTAAGGAAACAGAGAATTAAAGTTTTAATTTTCAAAAAATAAAAATAAATAAATAAAAAAACTTAAAATTAATAATACATGATGTTCGATAATATTATAGCCTGGTTCGGATAATTATGAGGTTCTACCTCAATCTCAATTGGTTATCTCGCGTCAAGCTTTTCGCAATAATGCAAGCAAGTATTTCATAAATGGACGACAAAGCAATTACACTGAAGTTACGAGTCTTTTGAAAGAAAGGGGGATCGATTTGGATCATAAACGATTTCTAATTTTGCAGGTTCCTTTTTTATTTATTTATTTTTATGTTATTCATCGTGAGGTAATGATTAATGTATTGACATCATCAAAAATGTATGCTTAAATTAATGATTAGGGAGAGGTTGAATTAATATCACAGATGAAACCCAAAGCACCAAATGAGCATGAAGATGGACTCTTAGAATATATTGAAGACATCATCGGAACTTCTAAATATAAAATCCCTCTTGAAGAAGCAAATGAAAAGGTTGAAACATTGAATGAAGAACGATCAGAAAAATTAAATCGCGTTAAAATAGTTGAAAAGCAGAAACGAAGCTTAGAGGTAACATATTAGTAAAGTCGCGTTTGTATCATATTAAATAACTATTATGATTCGAACCTTATTGAATTGAATAGGCCAAGAAAAAGGAAGCAGAAGATTATCTCCGAGATGAAAACACGTTATCTCTGAAAAAGTCTTCACTTTATCAAAGAAAATTGCTAGAGTGTAAAATTAATATTGAAACATCAACTAAGGCTATGGTAAGTCATTAGGTTTAATTCAATAACTTATTCTGAAAAACTAATTTAATATGGCAATTCATTTTATTTATTAATTCTTAGAATAAATTAAAAGATCAACTAAGAGAAGAAAATGAAAAGCATGTTCAGATAAAACAAGATAACAAATATCTTGAAGATAAATACAGAGATTCTGTTAATGCCTTCCAGGTAAAATATTTATAATAATTTACAAATAAATAAACTTTCATTAACCTAATAAATGTATTTTATTTTAATAAGAAACTTGATAAAGAAACAAATGAATCTCTGACAGAATTGGCAAATTATGAGCAAGAAGATATTGACCTGGAAGAAAGAAAGAAACACGCAATTTCTAAACAGAAGAAAGTTACAATGGCAATTTCTACAGTAGGTTTTATTTGTTTATATCATTCTGATGCACATATATTCGAGACATAGAATAATAAGCTTTTTGTTATAGAATCTTCATGGACTTTCGGAAGCGAAATCAGCAATGCTATTTAATGAACAGGA